TACCCCAAAGCCTAATTTTTGGGAGTGAATGTGCAGTTTAGCACGATGCAAGGATGCTGTTGGTCCTGTTCCTAGGTATTTGGGGTTGTCTTCACTGCTTTGCATACAACATATCTTATTTTGTAAGCTTCCTGTCAGACAGTGATCCCTTGAAAATTTCAAGAAGTAAAAGAATGGATGGAACAACATCATCTGCATCAAAACAAAGATGCACAAATACCACAAAATGTCTGAGTCTTGAGATGCTCTATACAAATCTTTAAACTACACAAATTTTCAAGCAGGCTAAAAATCCACAGTAAGTAGCATTCCTTCCAAAAAGGAAGTCGACTCCACCTGCACAAGTATATTTATTTTAAAAACAAATATGGAGATGGCCCAAACATTTTGAGACAAAGGGATGCTATTAGAAAACATGGACTATGCATGTGTTCAATTATCAGCTGCTTTAAAACTGAGCCAATCATCATTAGGTAACTAAGGTATTGCCTCAGAAGACTCATTAATATGCACAGACCAGAGCATTAGAGTACTCCAGAAATAGGAGTATATTTTGTGTATCTGCCTTTAGGGAGACTTAATTACTTGTAAATTCAGGAATTGCTTGGGATTGGGACAGTGGCTAATATCCTAGCCAGAATTTTCCTGGTTCATTACTCAAGCAGCAACACTTCAGGAAAATTCTCCCCTCCTCACCCATCAGTGTTTCTCTGCTAACACATTCAATTCTAATTTTAGTCTTTTGATAAGTTTCTCTTCCAGATCTACCCACCCATTTTCAAATTTAAATAATTTTCAGTTTTAAAGAGCTTAGCTTTAGCAGGTGTTTCAGTAACTAAGCAATAAGAAATGTCTCCTGAGAACAGTCTTCCAAGCTTCCCAAATGGGTTATCAGAGAAATCTCAGTACAATAATTATATGCCAAATAACCATCAAATTAATTGCAAAAACCTGAATAGCACTGATGAGACAGAAAGGGTAAGGGCATCTATGACCCCTCCTAATGAACTGAGAGGGCATAGTAAGAAATGGTTTCAATGCTAGTAATATTTGCAATGAATATCAACCACCAGCATTCAGGAAAAATTAATTCTAGAATAATCTAAAGAGAAAACCAGAACTCTCACATTTTGCATTCTTCAGACCCCATTTGACCCATGGGGCTTGCAACCAGGGGCCATATAACTGCATTCCATAAAGTAACAATCAAAGTAATACCTAGTCTCCCTCATGGATGCATTATCAATATTGCAAGTCCCAGTTCCCAGGTACACTTGAGCTCTGCTTGGCACCAGACTTTGGAGACGGAGTGAGGCAGGGCAGAGATTCCTGTACGCCATCTTTTGTGTCCCACTACTCCAAAAAATACTCACACTGCAAATTCCTCAGGGGAACACAACTTCTTATCAATGTAGTTAATAGCTAGTACTGACTGACCTTACAACGCATCATCACCAAATACTAGCCATGTTTTAGTACACACTCACTTGTTAGCTAATAGAAACTTTTAAGCGCACTTCTCTCTGGGAAGAATACGGGTTATGGGCGTCTCGTGCATTCTTGAGTTTTTTCCCTGTGTCCAGAACTCCCACTTAAATGGTTCATTCCCCAGCAACGGGAATACAGATGATAGCCATACAGGGTAAAGAGGGAAAGCACAGACATTTCAGAGAAACTGGACCTAACAACGCTGGACTCTGGTATCCCGAAAGAAAGAGGTAATTTTTTTCAGGAAGTCAGCTCCACTTTCTTTTAAGTGCATGTTTATTCTTTTTCCTTCTATCTTTGTCCTGCTTTGTAGGCTCAGTCTGGAAGAACACTGGTGAAACAAGTGGAGTGCTGGAGGTGGGCTATTATCCAGGAAGGCACAAAAGGCATAGTTATTATCACAAAAGGGAGCAATTTTGAACTAATTCTTGGAATAAACTGGGAACTCCAGGAGTTGGGTAAGGAAGAGGTAATGTAGTCATGTTTCTTCCACATTTATTAAGGTGAATAGATACATTCAGTATATGGCAGTGTCTAGAGAACTGTGACTGAAGCCATAGAAGATTAAGCTGCAGTAGTCAAAGTAACAGAAGATAAACGTATTAAAATGATTATTAAAAAAATTAAGAAAACACTAAGATTACTAAGAACAGAAACAGACTACAGATCTGAGTCAAACAAGAAGGCAGAAAAGGTGGTGCTCTTTTTTAACATAATTTTCTTGGTTCCAAGTAGGAATTCTTCCATCAAGTGCAGCGAATTTCTTGGGGCTAGCGTCATAGGTTAGACCGATGCATACATGAAACCCTTAAGGGTAAACCAGCCCCACTTAAACTTGTTCAAAAACACTAATCTAGGTACCAAATATACTTCCAATGCTGTTTGTTTCCTATTCCACTAAGCACTCCTCTTCCAAAAAGCATTAGTTAAAGCCTGGTCATTCACTGGACTGAAATCAGGACAGAAATCCAATCAAACCATGTATGCAACATGCTCGTTATCCCTGATTTCAAGGCAAGTCAGGAGCTGTTGTATAATTGGGCATCTAGACCCTAGGCAATGAAGAGTTAAGATGCAAATGCAGTCCCAAGACTTCATGCTGTGTTTTCTCAATTAGAAAACACAGAAGTGGGACAATGGCTTAGAATTAAAATTAGTTTTCAAGTGTGGTATGTCAAAAAAGGTTCATCACATTGTACAGTTGATCAAAGATGAGGAGGTAGTTGAACATTCAGTACAGGAAGAAGAAAAGTGGTGGAGGGAATTACTGTGTGTGTGCATGAGAAACCATATGAAAGAGGGAAATGGGTTGGAGGGACACAAAAGAAACAATCATTATTGAAAGTAATGGGGGGAGGGGAGACATTGTGTATGCAGCTCTTATTTCACTTCTGCTGCAAAAAGTAGACTTTTAAAACAACATTTTCTTCATAGTCTGCTTTTCATTGACCATTTACTTCTGTCACCACCTTTGTTTAGATAATATGGAAATTAATCATTAGTTTTATAACAGTTTATCTTTAAAAAAAAAAGGGTCGTCAATTTGGACCCCAAGCAGTGTGTTCCAAAGGAGCTGTTATACTAAGTAGGAGGACTGTAAAGGGATAGGGGAAGGGTTGGCAATGCAAAATCTACAGTACCATATCTAATGGATCAGGAGTTCTTTGGTGGGTGTGAATGTTTTAAGGAGATGGACATTTTATATAATTGAGCTAACAACCAGAAGGGAAAAGTCTTCTATGGCATACTCATTATGGGAATTCAGTGAACACAGGATACACCTCATATTTTGTTTTGAAAACCTATTTATTTGATATTAAGGGAAAAAGCACTACTTTTTCATCAAAACTGAAAAAAAAAGATGCAATAACTGGTAACAGAGAGAATTAAAACTTATGGGCTTTTCCCCCAGAATCAATGTCCATTTTAGCATCCATGCAAAAATCTTTAGAGGACACAGCTCTCTGGAAAAAAAAATCTTGTTTGTTCGTATTAATTTCATTCTTGCTTCTAAGGTTGAGTCTTCATATACACTATTCTTTTGGCTGCAACCAGTGCAATGAAACTGATGAACCAGCAGGTGGCTCCACATCCATAAAGAACTCCAAAGGAAAAAGCTTTTGCTTTTCAATAGGGCTTTGTCTGCCATGCATTGTGGATCATGGCAAGAGAATGGGGTACGTCATGATTGGACCTGGACTTTTCAGTGATGCTAGGACATCAACAAGACCCTGAAACCATGCTGAAGGCTGTGATGCATCTAAGACCTTAGCAGGGCTCAGAGACAAGGCTAAAAGGAGATTAGTCCTTGTCCATCTTATAACTGGAACAAGGTCTACCACTACAGGTTAGGTTGTACATCAGTTGAACTTTAAGGTTTGAGATACTGTGTGTCAATTACCTTACACATATTTCTCTCTCTCTTTAAAGGAACTCAAGCATTAAATGTTCCCCTGGCCTACAAACATTTTCACATGGAGTTTTGGAGACCTTCTTTGGCCCCTCTCGTAATTTTTCTCCATCAGTGGACTCCTAGATGTTGCCACTATAGATCAGAGTGAGATGGACTAGTTGAAATGCTAACAAGGTGTCAAATCTTCTACGGTCCAGGGACCGGAATCTGAATACTGTTGGGCCCCATTCACTCCTGTGTCACTCCACTGTTACACTAGCATAACATTTTCAATTTCCATAGAATTACAGAACACATACTAGAGCCATGGAGTGATGAATCAGGCCTTTAAGTACTTTACAGTTCTTCCAAGGAAGGCAACTAATGCTTAAACATGTATCTTACAGGGCTCCACACTGCTTGAGCTGAAAGATTAAGAGATAGAACAAGCTAATATTTTAAAAGTCTCATACTTTTAACCAGAGGCTAATGGGAGGCTAGTTGCAGAGTGTGAAGAATACGTGGATGGGGGTGGCTGTTGTTACTTCTGCATCATAGGTGGCAAATTACTGGACGTACAATTGCCCTGCCAGCTGGCAGACTGCAGACCAAATCCTTGCCTGAAGAGGTATGCAACTCGGGGGCTGAAATGTTGTAGTACTTACCCTCTGACAAAGGAAGAAGGATGGTCTTGTGCTTAAGGTGCTGGATTAGGACTCAAGTCTCAGTTTGGCACAGGCCCCTGCTTGTGTCATCCTGAATGAATCATTTAAATCTCTCTGTTTTGTTATTTCTGTTTGATAAATGGGGAGTAATATTTAACTCTTGCCCAGGAAGATAAATAATCATTTGAGGGATGCACTATGGCACACAGCAGCACTGGAGGAGATAAACCTAAAAATACCCAAGTAACATTTAGTATTTGTATTTGTACAAACGATAGATGCCAGAATGATGCTCAGATAATGTAAATTGGACAGTCTTTGAGCATGAATGGGATATGAAACCTCTTCCCCCTTTCCTTCAACAAATCCACAAAGAAAATTCTACCTGGTTGTAAACAAAAATGCCCTTCAACCTCTCAGTGAAAACAAGGCAGGACAGCAGAAAGAAATGCTGAAACATGATTTATTAAAACCGTTTTGTAAAACCTCAGGAATATTTCACAAAGAAAGGTAGATAGCTTGTAATTGTGTCTGATTTGTTGTGCGTGAGACCAGAGCCCATGTGTTGGGTCCAAAGCATCAAGCAGATCTTTGGTAAAGAGGCTGCAAGTTCAGTGTGGCTATCAGGTACTGAAACTGGATTAGAAGATTAGAACTCTCTTTGGCACATCTGTTACATTTACTGCATCATGTCAGTCTTCTGCTTGAGTCTTTTAGCCCTCCATCTCCCATGTGTTACACCATGAATATTTATTTGCACCGCTGGAAGCATTTCAATTCACCCAAAATGCTTGTAATATTGTCAACAATATTTTCTTCACCTAAGTTAGAATCCATAATACAAGAAAGAGGAAATATGGCAATCATAGAATAGGACAAATGAACAAACCACAGCAAGAACACCTTTAAATAGGAGGAAAAAAGTCAAAAGACATACATCCATGTGGGTTATTGCTCAGGAATGCTGTCATGTTAACAGGTTTACATTTTGCACTATCAGAATGGGTCAATGTATTTGTCAACACACTGCATGTAAAATGGCAAAAATAATTTGGCAGAAATGAGCATTGTACATGGGATACAAGTCCTGAATGTAACAATCAGCCTGGATATTGTCAGCCAATAGGATTCCCTGAAGAGAACACCACTCTTGCCATTGTTTTCTGGATTTAAGAAGGTTGTTGTGTTTTTTTTCAAAGCAGAGTATTGTATGCAACAGTTATAGGGTGTGTGCACAGGAAAGGAACAAACCTGAAAAGAACAGAGATATTTTTCTCAGGCTGCTACATAGTTTTAGGTAAGATATTGATGTAGACTAAGAGTCTACAGGGAAGGGATCTGCCAATGGTGCAGACATGACATCAAGGAGAGAGTTTAGAAAATGAACAATCTATTAAACTAGAAAGTGCGACAAAACCTGAGTTTCAAAGAATACCAAATGCCTCCATGGATATGGTAGTTCAAGGAGAAGCTCATAGTCTATCCCTTAGCTACACAGGACATTTCCCGCCCCACCCGTAAATCATGGACAATGCTCCCCTGTTCAGAAGATTATAGGAATTAAATCTAGAAATAATCACTCTTCTTACCAATGCTAGGAAGAACTGCCATTCAGGTGCACCAGCAAAAACAAGACCTGAGACTACAGTTTGGATTAAAAAAAAATAAAAATGGTGCCATTTTTCTCCTTTCTCCCTGCTCATGCTTCAATTTCTGAAATCTTCTCGCAGCACATGTTTGGTGTTTCTATTTGCAGAAACTTGAAACCACAATAGAAGTCACTCTTGCAGGCTGTGATAAAAGCCCTCATGCACTAGAACTCAAAGACTGCCTCCTTTTCCTCCCCCAAAACAAGTGAAGCTGCATCAACATTCAAGAATTTTTGCAGAATTGTTCTCTGGAAAATATAACAGACAAAAATCCCCTTTAAGAGCAAAACCCAGAAAAAAGTTCTAGTATGATGTAATCTTTTCACTGTTGCATCTTTGAGCACCATCTTCCTTGTCAAGCCAGTAGAGCGAGCTGATCCTCCTCATTTTAATTTGTTCCTTATAAATTTAGCTTTCCAACCTCAAATCCCTCATCTTCTCTTCTTTACTGGTTGTTGCATCCTGGGGCTGCGGAGGAGGTGCCTGCCTGTTTCAGTTTCTTGCGGCGTTTGTTGAGGAGGCGGTTGCTGGACACTTTCAAGTCTTTGATTTTCACTTGATCATAGTCCACTCTCATGGTAGCCAAAGCACTAGTCATCTCCTCCTGAAATCAAAGGAGAGAATGGTGAATCCCCTAGAGCAGCAGTTCCCAATCTGTGGTACATGTACCACCAGTGGTATACAGACAACCTGTCAGTGGTATGCGTTAACAGATTTATTATAATTACAGGACAAAAATTTACTGGTGGTACTGAAGGTTGAACTGAAAAATGTGCTGGTGGTACTTAAGGTTGTATCATTTTAAATTGGTGGTGCGCAATCTCTCAGAGTTTGGAAACTGCTGCCCTAGAAGCATAAGCAAAACAGACAGTCCATAGCACCTTCAAGAGACAATTTTACAAAATGGAAGACTTGGTTGTACTGCAGCCAGTAACAGCTTAGGCCAGGGGTGGGCAATTATTTGGGCTGAAAGGCCACTTAGGAAGTTTGGGCAAACTGTTGCAGGCCAAGTCAGCAGCCCCCTTCTCAACAACTCACCAAAACTTCCCTAAGTGCTGCACCCCCCCGCAGGCAGGGCGTGCTCAGCCAGGTGGATGGGAAGGGGCTGTGGGCAGGTGGGGAGTGGCACCCAGGAGTGAAATGGCCAGGCAGGCTTAGGGCTGGAGCTGGGATCAAGATTGCAGACCAGTGCCGGCATGCAGCCAGGGCTGGGGCACGGGCTGTGATCTGCTCCCCACACGATGGATCCTGACTGGCCCGAACCGGGAGGGGGACTGAGTATATGTCCATGACCTGAACCCCACTCCTCTGCCCCTGCACAGGCATGCGTGGGCAGCCCCAGTACAGCGCAGCTGTGGAGCAGCGTGGCCCAGCCCCACTGGATTGTGACCAGCTTAGGCTGCTCTAAGCTGCTGGGAGCTGCTGTTCTGCAGTTGCGTTGTATTGGGTTGCCACTGCGCACCTGGTATTGGGGCACAGGAAGCAGGGGCCTGGTCATAAGTGTATGCTCTGCCCCCCTCGCAGGTCAGACTGGGTCAGTCATGATCTGTTATGAAGGGAGTGGATTGCGGCTCTGTCCTGGGCCCCGACCCTGCAATATCACTGCTCTGTGATCCTGATCTCCTGGGCCAGTCTCCATGCAGACCCTTCCTGCCCACTCCATTGGGCGCCCCCAGCTGTGGGTGCCCAACAGACAGGCTGGGGTGCCTGGGCAGCAGGGCCACGTCCAGCAGCAGCGGTAACACTGGCAGTGGAAGCTGGAAGGTGCCACCGGTGCTGGGGCTGCTGGGAAGCGGAGTCCACTACCTAATCCCAGGGAGCATCGGGATTGGCTGCATGCATCATGGCCAGGGCTGCCTCCCAAGTCTGGGCCAGGTGGGGCTGATTTACCTGCCATGGGCCAAATAAAATCTGTTGGTTGGCCGAATCCAGCCCACAGGCCATATTTTTCCAACCCTGGTTTAGGCCTTTCTGTTGCCTAGGCTGACACTAATGCTTGGTCTATAAAGTGGAATTATGCAGGAGCAACCACTTGAAAACAACTCCATTCACTGACAATCTTATCCAGAATAAAAATGTTTTACCCCAGTTTAGTTCAATCCCCCTTTAAAGTAGATTAAATTAAACTGGATGCACACCTCATTGGCATCATCTGACCTCATCAGTCTTTCCTGCCTTAGAGCAGGGAGGCTGGACCTGATGATCTCATGAGGTCTGTTCCAGCCCCTAACACCTATGAACCTATGAACAGGAATGTCAGGCTAGTAGGCAATAAATTAGAGCCTATCCAAGGAGTCTGAATGAAGTATGTGAAAACAAATGTAAGAGATATGAAACTGACAACTTGTAAACAAAAACTTCTCCAATCCTTTTACTCTTGATAGATGAAGCAACATGACTTACTCTAAATAGGAGCAGAAGTGTCAAAGAAGAGAAAGGTATCTACATTACCCTCTCAAATCTCATTTGGTAAAGAAACCCTTATTATAACAATGGTTCATTCACTGACCTTCACTTCATCCCAGTGGTCTTTATCCTCTTGCAGAACTCGTGCAGTATGAAGAGGGGTTGGTGGCACCATCATTGATTGCTAAGAAAGCAGAAGAAAAGAAGCATTTGACAGAATTTCTCTTACCCCTTATCCTACCACCTCATCATTTGTTCTTATTAAGCACATTATGGTTTTGAGTGCTTTGTGTGTTTAACAACTATCATTCAGTAAGTGTCCTGCTTAATTTTTCTTCTAGCATCTGTGCTGGAGGTAGTCTCTTGCACATACATTACCTTAGATTACAATCTTATCATATCTTTAACAAAAGAAAGGTATAGCAAAGTTGGTCTACTTGGGAAAACTATTGCTAAATAAGTTATGGTTGGAGTTTAGAGCACAATAGCTATTCTGCACTACCTTTTCATGTGGACACTCCCAGAGTGCTTTTTGTGGTTTAGCTTGAACGTCTTCCAAAATAAATTAAGAAACATACTCTGATTGCAGCAGTAGAGGGGAGCTACTGCAGAATATCTATTATGAGCTGTAAAGACTGTCCCTAGTACTCAAACAGGGAGAACTGCCAGGAAACTTAGGGCATTTTTACACGTGCCAGGTACTGTAATTAGTGAGTTGCAGTAATTAAAAGTGCCCATGTGTCATGTGAATCAGCATCACCATGCATCTCCACGCTGAAAAAATGTCGGTGGGGCACTTTGAAATAAAATATGTTCCGTGAGAGTCAATTTTCATGCTCCAGCAGGCTTGATTAATCGAATCTACGCTGACACACTGGATTTCCAGTGTGTTGGAGCAGACTCCATGCACATGTGTAGGAGCCCTTACGTATGGGTAAACTGGTCATGGAAATGTCCATTCTGGACACAGGACTACAATTGGATTAAATTATATTCCCAGCTCTGCCTATTACTTGGAGTGTGATGCTTGGCAAATCACTAGCATCCTTTGCATACTTCTACTTATCTAAAAGTATAACAGGAACCTGACGAAGAAAAGTTTTAAGACTAATTAACATCCAAAAAAACCCCAATTTGAGATCCTCGGGTGAAGCAGGCTACAAAGGGTAATGTGCAATATTATTCAGAGCAAGTACAGATTCTGTACCCTGGAATTGTTCAGAAAATCTATGTTGCTAGAAATGATATTTAAGCTAAGACATGAAACTTAGGTCCACAATTACTAGTCATTAAAAGTCTAATAGATCTTTTTGGTAAAGCAGGATCTTTGACTCAATTTTCTGGATAAATTCTACTGGAGTAATGATATTCTCTGCCTGACTGCCACCTAAACTGCAGCCTCAGTTGGATTTTGTATCCTTTGCTTCCTGTCCAAAACTGCTGTGTAGCACTACTGCATTCCCTTCCAAAGAGAGCTGCATTCCAAAAAAGAGTGAAAAGACCCTTTTGTTTGTAGGTGTTACTTTTTACTAATTATAATATGGTAGTGCCAGCTGAAAGCATTATTACTCATGGTGCTGTGACACATGGAAAAGGCAGAAACTACAGAGAGGGTATCTTCCGGACAAGGACTGCAGCTGATCAAGGCATGATTTGTCAAGGGTGGGAGAATGGAAAAATGGCACTTTTTGTAGCTCCCCTGAGCAGGTGTCAAGGATGTGTGCCCTTTCTTCTGTGAGCTACTACTTGCCTACTGCAGCTTGCCTGACAACTGACTGAGGTACTACATGTTCCTCTATCCAAGGTCTACAGTGACAGTGCCATCATTGATACTCTCAACTCAGAGGGACTCTAGGGGTATGTATTTCTGACTTGAAAGCCTGAGCAAGATGCTAGGGCATGTGTTCAGGGTTGGGACAAGCCATCTTCATCACAAATTTGTGAGCCCATGTGTGAGAGGTTCATTTCTTAGTGGTATACCTGTACTCTGAATGGCTACTTCATGTTATTTTCTATTTTAGCCTTCACAGAATCAAAAGAAAGTAGGGCTGGATCAGGGCCATCTAATCAAATCCCCTGCTCAGAGCAAGATTATCGCTATCTAAACCGTCCTAGACAAGTGTTTGTCTAACTTGCTCTTAAAGGACTTCCAAGGATGGAAATTCCACAGCTTCTCTCAGTAAACTTTCCAAAGCTTAACCACCCTTGTAGTTAGAAAATTCTTCATAATATTCTACCTAAATTTACCTTGTTGCAGCTAAGGCTCATTACTTCTTGTCCCATCCACTGCGGCAACAGATGGTTTACCACTACCTTCTTTATAACCACTTTTCAGGTATCTGAAGGCTGTTATCAAATCCCTCCCCCTCAGTCTTTTCATCATATTAAGTAATCCTAGTTTTTGGAAGGAATGTTTCCAAGAGCTATAATAATTTTTGTTGGTCCCTAATGAACTCTTTCATATTTGTCCATGTCTTCTTTTGAAATGAAGTGCCAAAACTGGACATAATACTCCAGGTGAGGAATTGCTAGTGCTGAATAGTGGAAATATCATTTCCCTTACCTTGCAAGCAACACTCATTAATGCAATCCAGTATATGCAGTTAACTTTATTTTATTTTTTGCAACAAAAGCAGACTGTTGACTCATATTCAAGTTGAGTCTGCTTTAATACTCAGGTCCCTTTCTTCAGTACTACAGCCTAAATAGTCATTTCCCAATTTGTATTTGTACATCTGATTGTTCTGTCCTAAGTATGGGACTTTGAACTTGTCTTAACTGAATTTCATTTGATTAATGTCTCCCCCTTGTAGAGAGGGAAAAATGTATTTTTAAGTGTTATCCCTGGAATTACTAACTCTTTTTCTTTCCTTCCTCATCCTTCTTAGAACAATTGGTTAACAACATACATGCCAATTAGCAAATGCTGGAGAGAGTGCTTGAGAGTGACATCCCAGTCTGGCTCTTTGGTGCAACAGGGGTCTTTGGAGCATAGCAGCACAAGGACTTTGCTTCTAACCTCTTACTTTTTAATTGGTTATCTGCATATTTAAAGTTTAATGCACCACTAAAGGTGCTAACCCTTTTAGCTATTTATCAGGCATTTCTTCTGCGCAATTTAGTGCTTGCTTACACCAAGGACACCTCTTTTTCTTTTTCTTAAGATTTAAACTTAAGCTATGTACATTTATCACTGTTTTAAACTAATTTTAATTTATTTATTTTGCATGATGAATAATATTTGTATTTGAAGAAAAGCATTAGAGACAACTTACTACGGTTCCAGAATTCTGAGTGCTACTGCTGTCATGATTCAGTGTATCCTTAGGCAAGTCATTTAGCTTCTTTATACCTCAGTTTCCACAGCTGTAAACTGGGGGCACCTGTCTACTTCAAAGTTGTTCTAAGAAGCTACATTCCTTCATGTCTGTAAGGGCTCTGAGCTCTTCAAATAAAATGCACTGCAGAAAATGAGGATTATTAGTTATGCTGCTGTTCGTGTTTCTTCCTTCTAAGATGAAAATGGACAGGAAATCCCTGGGGAAGAGTATATTCTGTAGGGTACACGCTCTTTTGGATTTGTCTTCAGGGGAGTAAGAAAGAAGATACACTCCATGTTAGGCATGAATGTGGAAAATTCAAGGTACTATTTCCAGTAACACCTACAGAGCAGAGATGATATCCTGAAGCTTAAGTCAGATAGCTAGTACCTTGGACCCCTAGTAGGAGCATTTTCCTGCTTGAGATAGTAAATGAAAAAGGGATATTCTCAAAAAACCCCAAGTCACAAAGCAAGTCTCAAAATGGATCTATCAATGGCATCATATACAGCAGCCTCTGGTGTTCCTTCCACTGGACACTGCATAAATCCTTGTCTCTGCCTCCCTGGGCATTTTCAGATCTATGCAAGGGTGAGAATTTCCTCAAAGCATGCCTCTCTGTATTCAAATAATGCAGCTAATCATGATGATTCCTGGCACTTCTAATAATAGCTCTCCATAAACCTTACAATGATGAAAAAGCATGGCTTCTTTTTTTGTGTGAGATGGGAGGAGGGTGTGTGCATGCTCTAGTCAGCAGCAATTTCTAGCTGAGAGTAGGTAGGGATATTTTTGGCTCTTGCTCACAAGAACAGCAAATTGTGTCTCACAGTTTGTCCTCCAGTATCACAATGAGGAACTCTTTGCAGTAGGTATCATTTTACAAAGTGAACACCAGCAGAACTTTTGCTAATTAGTAACTAAAAACAATCCCACAATGCTCTGCCTTGCTGCGTTAGGCAGAGCAGCAATGCATGTAAGAACCCACCCTTCTCTTTTGAAAAAAAAAATCAAGTGGGACTCACATTAATCCAGGGATGGTTTGTAAACTGAGAAATTGTCATCCTCTCAGTTGGGTCTGTTTTCAGCAAGAGACGGATCATCTGCTTGGCTGAAAAATAAGGACCGAGATGACATGCTGTAATCAACTATTGGGTTTCAATATTGCTTGAGAGCAAGAAACATGTCTTAAGAGAAGTTCAGTACTCAAAACACCTACTTGTGGCTGTTCTCACATTGAGAAGCTGTGTACATGCAATTGTGTGGGAAGGTATGATGTATATACACAGGGTCCTATTTAAAGATGTAGAAACTAAGAAAAAAATAAGGGAAAGAAAGAAGTAGTATGAAAGGGAGGCAAAAAGGTTTGGGATTTTATCTATCAGTCTACACTGTGAAACTGGCCTGTGGCTGACAAAGGGTACCAGCAGCCAGCTGCTGAAAAAAGTGCATCTTCATTACTGTCCAATGCAATGTTTTCCATAGCACTCCATCACTCCAGTATCTAAATCCCTAACTATGTTACACATACCAGACAAAAGTGTTTTCAGCACTGTTGGAATCTCAGCCACATTTTTGGTAATGGGGATACAATCAGTTCTGTCCCATCCTTACTATTTTTTATTTTCATTTGTAGTATTGTAGCCCCTGGGAGTCCCCCCTCAAGGAGCAGGTCTCTATTCTGCTACATGTTGGGGAAACAGAACAAAAGGAAAGCCCCTGACCCAAGGATCTTATAATCCAAGAGGAAGACAAGATACAGAAAAAGGATACAGAAAATGGATACTGGGGAGTTAGAAAAGAACAGTGAGCATGTTGTTAGTAGTTGCTGTACCTCAATAGCTTAACTGTTGTCAAGATTTTTGCAGGCATCATGGCAAAGAAGTTTTAAGAAGACGTTGAAGGAGGATTAAGAGGTAACTCTGTGTACATTTAAAAGGAGGGTCTCCCAAGCATGAAGAAAAGCATAAGAGGAAAACAGAGGAACTTTTCAAAAACCGTTCAAGAAGGCAAGAGAGGCTGGTATCCTGGGCTGACTGAAGATAGGATTCAAACTGTAGCTACTGAATGAGGCATGATAGAGAAGGAGAAGTAAAACAGGGACAGAACGCAAAGGTGAAGACAAACTGCTTTTCTTTGATATGATACGAGATGGATAAGCCAGTGGACACAGGTATGGAAACACGCTTAGAGCAATGGACTAGGAAAATTGTTTTCTACAGTGACATTTTGGATAGTTATTAGCAGGGAATTTGTTACAAGCAAAGGAAAGAATGATGCAGTAATTGAACTGCAACGTGATGACAGCCTGGATAGGAAGAGCTATTTGTGTGGGTGGTTGGAAATGCCATATCTTAGGCATACTCTGCTGAAAGAAATTTAAAGGCTCAGATGCAAGAACTGAGAGAAGGTTCCAAGCCAGAGATGATGCCCAGGTTATGGGTTTATGTGTTAGGCAAGCTAGGGATACTGAATGCACTGATTAAGAAAAGAGGTAGGAGAAAGGGCTGTGGTAGTGATGGAGGAGGGTAAGGGAAGATAAAGAGGTCTGTTTTATTCATGCTGAGATGGAAGCAATGGCCAGACATCTGCAAGAAGATGTTGAGAGAGACAGGCTGAGATTTTAGTTTGAACAAAATGACGCAGGTCTTCAGTGGAGAGGTCTGCCAGCCTGTGAGTTATTATAGAAATGGCAGCTGAATCTGCAGGTGAAATTATCTAGAGATAAGACATAAAAAGGATTATATATAACAAAACATAAAGAGGGTAAACCAAGGACAGAGCCCTAGAGAACCCCCACAGAAAGATGAAGGAGTAAAAGGAGGATCTGCCAAAGGACACATTGCAGGAACAGAGGGAAGAGGAGAATCAAGAGAGAATGGAGCTATGGGAGAGAAGAATGGATAAGACTTCAAGAAGAGATAGCTAACTGTGTCAAAGACAGCTGATGGATCAAGGAGGATATAGTTAAACTGCATTCAACATTCTGTCACTGGGACTTTCTTATTGTAGATAAGCAGAATAGGTTCAAATTCATCTTCAGTCACATCTACACACAACTGGCAGGGAGACCACGGAGTGGGGCATGTGCCCTCCCTTGAGACTGGCCCCCAACTCAGCACTGCTCAGGATGGGGCAATTTTTTTGCTGTGCAGGCCAGCGGCGTGTTGGGGGGATGGGGGGCACTAAGCCACAGCACAGAAGTATAGGAGTGGATATGGGGCTTTTGGCCCGCTCCCAGGCCTTCCCACAAATTCTGCCCCCACAGACTCAGGAGGCACCAGTCACCCCTGGTCACATCCATATGAAAAACAAAAGTGCTATAAATAAATTCTCCTTCTCCACCTTTCCTTAGATTTTAATAACTGCTGTGCTGGGAGAGAATATGAACAAGTCTCAAGGGAGAATGAATATTCACCCAAGAACACACACTTCAAGTTAATATGCAGTGGTCATCTCTACAAGCTGACCCATGAAATTATATAAAGAATAGCAATACTGTATATTCCAGTGCAGTGATGATACCCTCCTATCACTCAGTAAGAGAAACTTTTAAAGGATGTTAAAACTCTGTAATTGCTTTCTACTAATAAAAGACCTATTAAAAAAAGAGCTACAATCAAGAAGTGACCAAACTTTCTTTGTGATATTTTGGCAAGTGAGACTAGATGAATAAGACATTGTCACATTCATGGGTAATAGGAAGCTGTTTCTTCTAGGCCACTGGTTTGAATTCATCCAGATCACCACTGAACAGTAGTGAATGCTGGTATTAGCTGATGGAAAATAAATTGCTGATTCAGCTTAATTCCCACATAACAAAATCAATCAGATAAATTTGGCGGCCTGTTCAGAAGTTTCAACAAGGAGACCAACACCACCCATTCATGGGCCACACCTGCTCTGCAGAGTAAGGGCTTTTGTTTCTAGGGCTGTTAACTTAGCACTTTCATCAGCACTAACTGCATTTTGAATAAATGTTTCCTGTGATTAATTATCTTCCATGTGCTCAAGAAATGGGTCAGTTTGTGACTATCATGGTATTGTTTCAACAAAAGCTTGGTTAAAAAAAGCCACACAGAAAAAAATATGAAAGACTCTTCAGAAACAACCTAATGAGGTCACTTCTCCTCAGTACCCATTGCACGTATGCTTCAGGTTCTTACCTTCTTCCGATACTTCAGACCACTCTGGATTGGGAAATCCATACTGCCCCATCCGAATTCTCCGCTTCATTCCTGGGGAAATGGCCTGTCCAGTGTTAGAGTAGAAGGGAGGAAACCCACACAAGCTACAAGAGAAATGTATTGAACAGCTTTTGTTAAGTGAGACATCCTCTCATTCTTCTGCCTCTAAAATCACATACAGCCTTTTATTCTTCTGATGAAGGAACACGTAAAGCTCCAGCAGCTAATCCATTATACAACACACATTTCATGAGAGTTCCCCATGCACTTGTGGAATCTGGGATAGAAATAGGGTAGGACATAAGAGAAGAATCTAACAGTTGGTCCCTTCTCTGTTCAACCACTCCCCTCTCTCATACTTACAGAATGTATGTGATGACACCAAGGGACCACATGTCACATGATTTGTCATATTTCTCAGGGCCAAGAACTTCTGGGGCTGCAGGAGAAAAACAGAAACTAATAAGTGCAATAGATTTCCCTTACTACCACCACACAGCAAGAAACTCAATTCTAAAGTCACAACAAATATTTAATACATAAAAAAATTAAGCAACTGCTCTCACTGGGTGACTCCTATAAACAAACTGCTCAGTCTTCTCTACATAGTCCTAATGCCCGGGAGTAAGGTTGACAGACTACAATCTCCACTGGCTCAGCAGAGATCCAGCTCTAGAAAGGCAAAAGATGTTGCAGCTGATGACTTTATGGTCCTCTCTACACATTACAGCAGGGGTGGGAGAAATACAGCCCGAGGGTGGAATCACCAGGTGATTTCATTTCATTAAATCATTTTGTTCTTGGATTACCAATTCCTCCATTTCCCTACCTTAAACAACAAACAAAAAACCAAACTTTAATTCTTAGGGGAACAATCTCTGTGATCTTCTCATCATCCTGTTATGCAAAGGAAAGCTTTGCAAGAAATTACCCTGAGGGTTATGAAGACAGGATTCAGATTATGGAGCTGAACCTATCAGCCACAGTGAAAATCGTTGTAACCATGTACAATTTACCTTCTCCCCATCCTCCTCACACACATGCACTAGGAAGTCTGTGCAGCTAGAACAGCAGATAGAAGGGCTGGAGTGTGTTGGAGTCAAGCTAGTTTTTGGGCTGGACCCCCCCAGTGATAACTCTAATTTCATCCCTGCCCTATTCAGGCGGAAGAAGAAAGGCAATCTATAGAAAATGGAGATTTTCCAAGGTCCTCAGGCTCACTCCCAGGATTATATGTGTGGATAGGGGCAATTCAGAAGACTTACCAACATAATATGGAGTGTAACAGGGGGTCTGCAGTGCATTCTGTATGGTAGTTTCTTTGGCAAACCCAAAGTCTGTGAGCTTGAGTACTGCGTCTTTTTCTTTGGATGTGTAAAGCAGGTTTTCAGGCTGCAGCAACACCAAGAGAAAAGGATGAGGGAAACATTAGAGAAGGTTTTCCAGAATAAATACTATTGAACTGTAGCTCTAACTTATCCATGCTGCCACCCACTTCAACACTACCCACCATTGCCAAGTCTCTCCCAGTGGATCTGCTGGTAAATATTAGCTTGTACCAGAATTCAGTTCTGCATGGCAGTGTGAAAGGAGCTCTCCATCCTCCTCCTGACTGAATACTGAAAGCACAAAACTGTAGACATTTGAACAGTTGCATTTACAACCTGACCCTCTTAGAGCTGAGCCTGCAATACCTCCAAGTAATGCCACTACTGCAAATAGATATAGTAGGGGCTAAATAGACTCCACACCATATGTACATGACAGCCTAATGCAGAAATGGTTTAAGTGTGTCAAATGTTTATTTCAGATCTGAGGCTGAGACATTATCAGTGATGCTGATGGAGGCTAAATGGTCACTGATGTCCTAAACAGCCTAAAAGATTTCTTGATCTAGTGCAATGATACCTGCTCTTGCAGGCATATGCTCCATGCAGGCCAGACATTTTTGCTTCTCTGGACTGGCCTGAGGTTCTCACCAGCATGTTAAGTCAGGGTCTCAAATTCAAACTTCCTTTCTAGAATGACTTTCTTTAGTTTTGTGCCACAAGTCACCAGGTACTAGCAATACCCAAGAATCAAATACACTCCAGTCCTTCAAGATAATCCTGGTTTTAAATAGTGGTTCTATATAACACACTTAACAAGGACACAATCAACTTTAAAACTATTCAGAAAGAAGTACAATTTCATTTTATTTATGGTACAACACCAAAGTCTTTGTGAAGGAAGGAGCAAATAAATCTTTCTCTCCCCTAGTTTATTCTATGCATTTCATAACATTTTGTAGAACTCACTTCACTTTCCCTGGCCAACAGAGAGGAAGCTGCTTCTTTCTCTTTGGATTCTTTTATTTTTTTAAATAAATATATTATTCTGAAACAACAAAAAGTGGCAGAGACTATAGAAACTTAATGTAATATGATTGCACATTGATACTGTCCCTTTAATAAGTGTCTTATTATCTAGGGGGGTTTATTCATATGGAAACTGATAAACCATTAACTTTGGTACAGGTGGATATTTCTGACCTTAAACCAAGTTGGCATGAACCCTTCCCATGCAGACAGTGAAACAGAATGCTCTGATCACCTTACTGTACTCATAATTTCTATAAAATTATCACTGCTTGTTTATTTTTAGTTTAATCTCTCTTCTCTGCCCAGGCACTTTCAGGCCTCACCTTGACATCTCTATGGGCAATGTTCATTGCATGCAGATACTGGATGGCTGTTCCGATGTCTTTCATTATTTCAGAGGCCTCTATAAATATAATTTTAGAGAAAGGTCACATTAACATTCCCACTGTAGCTCAGAGACATGCTTGGGAATGCTTCTGACTTATAAAGAGCTTGTCTGTATACAAGGTTAGCGTCAAGGCTGGAAGGGCTAATTTTAGGTTTAACAGCTGTGTTTTGGTTTTGCAGGCAACCATACCCCACAATTCCCCAGCTGCTCAACCCTTCTTGTGAGCAGGCACAGTACCCAAACAGTTGAGACTCCTGCTGCTTACGTACTTCTAAATTAGTGCTTTGCTTTGCTCAACAGAACAGAGTAGCACAGGCAGAGCACGAGGATGGAGCAATGCATAAGACTATGGGTAAGGAGAACCTCAATAAGCAACCTGGAGTAGTTTTGGATTGTCCAGCAGAGTTTAACAAGCAATGCAGTGCTAGTTCTGGAGGCGAGAGAAACATTTCATGGTGGGTTATATCTTCATTTCTTATCTGCCTTAACAGCATTTCCTCACATATAAATCAACAACAATTAGCAATTTCACTCTTCAAAGCTATTCTACTGTCTTTTTTGGAATATTTGGAATTTTAGTTTCTGCACTTGATGCACACTCCAGAAGGAAATTTTAGTGGTCAGTGCATTGTCCCCTAGCACCAGCATTTCTGAAGGGGAACACTGTACAGTTCATCTAATTGCAACAATCAGAGGGCTTTTATATAGGAGTTCATTTCAGACAAAAGGACTGGTGTCTTTTCCCTTTGATTTATCTGAAGGTTTACAGTAGTGGAAGTAGTGAGTGGTGATTTCACAGGTGCTGGTTTTGGCAGCAGCCTCCTTTTACTAAGGGTTTTTTTACTGGAATGGCCTAAAGGAACGCATCTTTTGAGTGTTCCCATTTTAATAGGTCCACATAGTCTTAAAACCATAAACCTACAGAAATACCAGCAGGCCAGAAAAATCTGCATTCTCCAGAGACCAGAGTTAGTATGTTTAACTTGGTTCCTTTTCCTTGCACAGATGACAGAATCAGTGAAATGATGCACTTAGCTTTGGTGGGTGTGGGAGAACACAAAGCTCATCCTACTATTACCAGGAGAGCCTAGCTTTTATACACCAACTTGGTAATAAAGGAGAGCGGGCAAGAGCTTTTGTCTGGAGGAGATACATATGTGGCCTGATACAGATTTGGTTTACCTGAGGGCTAAAACTGCTCTGGCAGGCAGCAACAATCAGAGGGAGGAAACGTACACCTTGTTGGAAAGTTGAGATTGAAAAAAAATCCACCGCGCAAGGCTTTACTCTCTCTAAGGCCCTGAGCACTAGTTTGAGAGCTTTCTTCTAGCTGGGGCCAGATTCTACTTTACTACTAGGCAGGCAAGTGGACTTAAGGGTCCAAGTGAAGTTCCATTCCACCCTGCCCCAGTCTCTGAAAACTGTTTATAAAGAAGGTGGATGCATCCTCCTCCCCCTTGCTGCTTTTTTGTGATTCAATCTTGAAAAGGTAAGATTGCAGGATGCTACAAATAGAAATTTTAATGGATTTTCAGGGACTTGAACAGAGTGGAAGTCACACTTAGGCATCTAACTCTCCTTAGATGCCCACTAGTGGAATAGGATCTGGATTTTGGTTGATCTTGGACTGTCCCTCTACAGCAAGAGCATTACTACTAATACCAGAGTGCCTAAATGATTTTGAGAACTGGAAGTATCTGGGAGATTACACACTATGTATATGATGCATAAAATGACATAGCTACCAAGAGAGGGCTATCTATAACCAAAGCACGAGTCTTTCCCTCTGGAGTATTGTGTCTGATACTGCAGTATGGACTGCATCCAGTTCAGGTGCCCCACATGAATTTTCATGCCTCTTAATTGAGTACGGAACTGTGATTTTGGAAACCCGGCCCCTATACCAGCCTCATAAATTATAATGATGTTTTGCAAATCTGGATATAAATTCCACCAACCAACTGATTTTGTGAGGATGGCAATGAAAAACACTAATATTTCACTCTCCAATAAAAATAAGCTCTTTCCAGTTCTGACTGGGCAAGCAGAATTTTTCAGTCAAGTACATTTGTGGCACTGTACAAATAAACAACATTAATGATGCTAAATAGTGACAAGGATGTTCTATTCCAAGCTCTCTCACTGACTCATTGTGGGATTTTACATGTGACAGTCTCTCTTGCTACCTTAGGTATGCCTGTCTATAGAATGTAGATATTAACACCTACCTTCCAACAGTGCATTAAGGTCTTTATGTAAGAGGGACTATATGAAATGCAGTATGTTTGTTATAATCGTTTACTCACAACAGAGTACAACTGACATTACTCAAGGGAAGTCTGGGAACCGAAGTCACAGGCAAATACCAGGGTAAAGATGTTTGGCAGAAGGCCAGAGACTAGAACATCAGAGATGGCTGCAGGATCTTGGTTAAGAAGTTTTCATATAGACTTACCATCTTATACCTGAATCTAGCCAATTCTGGTAGTTCCTCATTCTCACCCCATTTCCTTTAATGCTAATTGTTTCAAAGAGAGGCAAATAGAAATTTAAAACAGTAGGAAACACAAGAAAATTCCTTCTGCAACTAAACACACATTTCCTATTTGTTTTGAGTGGGAAGGGAGAGGAAAAAAAACCTTGCAACTTTGACTTACACTCAGGGCATCCTACCTCTCTCTGTGAAAGCTTGGTCTCCTCGTTCCTGGATCCTATTGAACAGCTCCCCTCCCTCCATGCTGAAACAGAGAAGGCATATAGAACAAACTCAGATGAGCAGGAGAGACCAAATCAGCACCAGAATGGGTATCCTTGTATTTGAATGGGCCTGTGGCTGCCAAGGATCAAGTGAGTGAGGGAATGGCCCTCTCTGTGAACCTTATATGTGCTCCAGTTGGATAGAGGCAGACTAACATCTGTCTTTAAATTAAATAGAATACAGGGTCAAAAGGAGGAGTTTGGAGGCCTGTGGTTTAGGAGACAGCAAGGACCTTCCAAGAAAGCAGAATCACAGACACTAGAGACCTGTCCTATGTTACTATTGGGAGGGCAACAGTGGCAAGTCAGCTGATGATGCAGGAAGACTGGTAGCAATCCTTGTGGTCCTAACATGGTGTAAAAATCCTGTTTAAGGTTTGGAGTTGAAGTACACAGAAAAAAATTAATTCAAGGAACTCATGCTTTCCATGGAGAGAAAACATCACATGTGTGGCACCTAGGAGATAGGAATGATGGGAAAAAATAGGGTAAAAAATGGTGGCTCTGTCAGGACCCTGTCAGGACTACACTAGCCTCAGTGTGGGAGCCAGTATCATATTCCAACAGACAGACATTTGGGGAAAATATGTCACCAATTGTACCCATATGTCTATAATGATACTTGTCTCTGACTGCAGAGGAAGCATAGTTTTGTGGTTGCTCTCCTTGCTCTTCCTTCAAACAAGGCTGGCTGGAGAACTTGTAGGTTTTCCTACAAGTCTTACAGAGAGAGAACAAGGCTCTATACCATTCCATTATGATGAGGAGGCATCTTTTCCCATGATGTATGTTCTCATAAACGTCTAGAATGTGGACAATGTGCAGACACCCTGAAGCTCGCCAGTGATACTCCACCTCCTGTCGGGCTTTTGGGCTGTCATACAGGAGCTGTAAGGAGATAGGAGAATGCAACAAAATCAGTCTAAGCTGTTCTGACTAAATTTTCTGTAATTAACTGCAACTACTTGTTAATTCCTAGGACAGAGATGAGAGCGGTGACCCTCCTTGGTTGCCTTCTGTGGCTCAACTCTCCTTAGCTACTGGCACATACAAAGAGGATACTGTTTTACTATTAGATAATTACGATTAGATCTAATACTATTAGATCTAATCAGCTTCCTGGAAATACAGAGTGGTGCACTGCTCGTTGGGTTTGGAGAGGGGTCATGGAAGGTGGGCGCAAGGACTCTTGGGCGAAGAGTCTTAAACTGTCTGCTCTGCTAGGGACTAACTGTTCTTCACTGCTGTGTAACACATATTGAGAAGCAGTAGTAACAGCTGTTGTGGGAAGAGATTTCTTAGTATAGCACATAGTGGAGCTGGTCAGGTGAGGAGATAATGGGATGCTGCTCACCTGTTGGAGTAAACAAGAACAGAGGGAGGGAGTCTCATTGTGCAGCTGGTATGGCAAGTGAAAGAAGTGAGAGATGGAACAGAGATAACTTGGCTCCCATCCCTCACCTTATACCTCTAATTAAGAATACACACCGTTTTGGGGATCTAAGAGTTAAGCATCAACAGCTAACAACAGTGATCAGAAAGCACTGCTCTACAGTTTATCTATAACGGAGATAACGGATAGTGTGAATTATGAAGGAGGATCCAGGTAACCCTGAAGGAGTTAACCTTCACCTCCCCACCCCCTGATTCCAGCTGTCACAGGTGTACCGCAGGGCCTTAATGCATAGTGAAATTTAAAAATAAAAAGGTACAGCGACTTTGAGTGTGCTCTCTAAATATTATTCAAACCTCAGACATTCCCCAGGTTGCTGTCTAGATGGTTATGCTTCATTCTCTACTGCATGCAGTGGCAGTTTATTTTAAGGCACTAACCCCTTTAGAATGTAGGTTAGAGATTAGCTTTCCAGACCGTCAGGAGCTCTGCACAACAAGAAATACATCTCCTAATAGCAACAGCAACAACAACAATTCCAAGATGTGCAGGCATTTTCTTATATTATCCTTCTACTCATTCATCCACAAATGCACACCTTGACTAAAAAAATGAATGGTGGGAGCCAAATCTAATGTCAGTTATTTGCAAGAAATAACTGTATGCACTGGATACTGGGAGTTCAAGGGCACTTAACTACTTGTTCCCTTCCTCCTTGCAAGCAACCTTTCTGTCCATTTTATCTATTTAGGAATCATGAACTCAGGGACAAGGACTGTCTGGATTGAGTATCTACAGAGCGTCTTGCAAAATGAAGATCTGATCTTGGTTGAGCTTCCTATGTTCCTAAGTATTAATTATAATTGAAAAACAATGCAATTCAATCTACATACAATGCTACCCAGTTCATGGAAAAAAACGGTGGAAAAAATGACCAATCACAATGTCCACTCAGATTAACTATGATAATGTCAAATTAAACATTGTCAATAAACAAGAAAATAACAATTCATTCAAAGGGAAAAATCTAGAAGACTCTGATAAAACCCAGTATAACTGTCTGTATTAGAGCAGGGGTGTCAAGGATATGGCCTACAGGCTGCATATGGCCCACATAGCACATGAAAGGGGTGAAAATTTAAGGGTGGGTCTTACTGCCAAAACTGGGAGCACAGAGACCCCCAAGGATGCATTTCAGTAGGAGAAGGACAAGCAACAGCTGCAAAAACTCCTGCACTGCTGCTGCTGTTCATTCGTCCCCCAGAGGTGGGTTCAAATGTGGCCTATCAGGCTACTCAGAATCCAGATCCAGTGTGGGGACTCCCAGGCAAGTTTTGACACTCCTGGCTTAGAGTGTTGAACTGTGAAGAAACAAATGATGTCCATGATGAGGGTGATGAAGGCAAGGATGCTGAGGTGGATTTACAGAACCAGCAAAAAGGACCATTACAAAAAAACAAACAAAGTGGCGCAGCAAGAAGCAAAGGTGATCTCAATCGAAGAAAATGGAGCAAGAGCTGACTGGAGCAGCTTGGATATGTAACCAGAAAGTTTGAAGAGTGTGTTGGAAATGAAAATTCAGGCCATGAGATTGCAGGCAGGAGAAAGAAAGGAAGACCCAAGAAGATGGAGTGAGAATGACTAATGCAAGACCTGAGGACTTGCAGTGCTTCAGAAGAGATGGCGATGTACAGAAACTTGTGGACAATGACAACTCGAAAAGTAGATTCCACAGAGTGGGAGAGAACCCCAGAAAAAAAGTTTTCAAATAAATAGGCAACAACATAATTGCTACACTATTAGTCCACAGACAACAACATCTCACGCACTCAGTGGGCACATGTGTGCTTCCATGTGCAGAGTTGAACCATAAACTGTGCATGCAGCCAAAAGCTGCAGCTACTTGGCTGTGTGTCATTTAAGCAAAACAAGTGAAATAGCTTTTCTTTTCACTTTTTTCTTCCTTAAAATGGGGATGTTGATAGTTAACTGCCTCAAAAAGGCAGCATTGTGCCTAATCACTTAAGTACCTGACAGTGCTTTGAGATTGCTACATGAAGAGTGCCATGTCCCTTTTTCTTCTGGCTATACCTGCTGTCTTGGGTGCAGGGAGATGGCTGGAAAACAAGTAGATATTGCATCTGCATTACTTAGGGATTCCTTTAGACCAGTGATTCTCAACAAGGGTGCTGTAGCACCCTAGTGTATCATGAAATTGGTGATGTGGGGCGATGCACAATATTAATATTGTTAGGTGTGCAGACACCAACACACGATTCACATGATAAACCCAGAGATTTCAAGTAGGAATCCAAAGTGTCGAAAACATTCTGATTGAGTTCTCTGCAACAGAAGATTTGCTCTATTATTTTTTAGTGAAAAATAGTGAAAATGAAGATTTAGCATTTTTCAAGTGTTGCCTCAAATCTTACAAGCGATGCTTGCTGTTTAAAAAGGTTGATAACCACTAACCCAGACACAAGGGAACCTCCATTGACTAATCAGCTTTCAGGAAGGTTTGTGCAACTAGAGCGGGTAGAAAGCTGCCTCAGAGCAGCTGAAGAGTGGGCTCAGTGTCTTCCAAGGGTGCAACTTTTTAGTTAAATGGCTAGGGATCCTATTGGGCACAGCGGTCTCTAAGGCTCCCCAGCTTTGTTTTAAAGATTCAAAGCCTTCACATGATGCCAGATTCAGTAGCTCAGGAAGACATGAACTGCAACATTCTTTCTGAATTCAGTCTCCCTACACCAGTCCACAATGGACAAAACCATTTCTTCTGTGACCTAAGCTCACCCTTTAAATCCAACTACCCACCACCCTCAATATAGCTTGATTTCCATCACCAACAGTTTTCTGAAAGATGAGACTGATTCAATTTGGATAGAAAGCCCATGAGGAAGTCCAAATGCAGTGGGTTTACTTCTTTCAGTCATCAGTCCATTCAGCCTATTTTTTCTTAACTACCACTATGCTGTAGCTCACTGGGCCTGTCTATGTGCATTTTCCCCCCTGCCTTTCCCAGTCTGGGCTGTTGCCTAAAAGATCTAATTAAAATCTCATTGAACCACATGTGAAATAACAAAGCTGAAACAGCCTCAAGGCTGGCCCACTTTAACTACAACACTTTGTACAGTTTTATAGGGTTTACTCTGCTTTATTGCATAGATATTACTAGATTAGCACCATTATATGGGCCATTTCTGACAACACTACCTCAAGTCAATCTCACCTTTTCTATGCCTCTACTCAAAGGTAACCGCATTACTAAGATTAGCTGTATAAGCCATTACGTATCTTTGTGTTCATATATAGTATGCAGAAGGCTTATTTTTTTATCTCTGTACTAAATAAGTAAGAAACTATTAAATAGAATCCAACCCTCACCTTCTCACAAAGCCTTTGCAAGGTATCTTGACACAAAATGATTGATATACCTTCTCCTTTCCCCACTTCTGGCCAGCAGCCCAGCCCAGTTGTATTCTCTAGTGCCAAACTTGACCATGTAAGTGACGATATGACAACTAGAGGGAGAAGGAGAGAAAGGGGGTACAAAATCAAGATTAGAAGCATGGAGATTTAATTCACATTTCAGGGGGCACTTGATTTACATTTGCTTTTATTGTTTCTGGTAGAAGTGCTATAATTTTTGCTGTTAAACCTAACATGAAAAAAGTCATAATTTTACCTTAGGAGAAGGCCTGAAAAAGCCACTCAATTGTGCCAGGATGGAAGTCTTTGGCAAGTGCAGGGGGCAGAGACAACTTGTTCAGCATCTAGCTCATGTTTTTAAACAATGAGTAAAATGAAGATGCTCATGGGTGCAAAGAAAATGTTCCATATTAGCACATGCTCTAAACAGGGATTGTGTTGTCTGAGTCTGCAGAGACACAGCTCTGAGCACTTCCCGCTGCCAAATAAGACCAGACTGAAATGCAGAAAGGGAGCGGTTTCACAGTTTCTGTTTGGAACTTTGCAGACATCAGTGAAACGGAAGTTTCATGCTGCCATTGGCTCAGAGAAGGAAAGATCACCCCCCCCCCCCCAAAAAAAACCAAAAACAAAAACAAACAAACCCAGAGGCTGGGGGAAGCATAACACTCAAATAGAAGTTAAATCTATTGCATGATCAGCCCCTGAAGGAGCTCTACAGTCATGCCATGACATGTGCATGGCTGTAGAGTGCTATTAAAGTGCTGGTCATGCAACAAATTAACCCTCATCAAATGAGGGACCAGATGAAGGCGCTCCACTTTGGTGTGTCTTAGACAACTTATGTTTTCTAGGCTTAATCTGTCATGTGACTGGGGCTGTCTGCAGGAAGGAATGGAGGATGGGGGAGGGGGAGCAAACTGTGGCTAGGCTTTGCCCAGCCCAAGCTGGATAGGGTTGAGTGGATTGATGCCCCCCTGCCTCACAACCCCCCTGCCTAACCCCTCTCCTCCAGCTCAGACTGGTCAAATCACAGCTGGCAGCTTGCTCCCCCTCCTCCATCATCTCCCCAACCTTCCTGCAGACAGCCATGGAGCTGGGGGG